CACCTATATTTCTGATTTTGAGCCTGAGGCTCTTACTACAAAATGCTTTTTGCAACTGCAGTCAGAAGGTTGGCTGTTGCCTGGAAGAGATTCCTCCAGATTCCTATGACTTTGTCTACATCATCAGGCTGTGGTAACTGGGCCTTTCAAACTGCCTCCTTGTGACGAAATAACCAAGTGGTATCTACTGATGTCTTGCTGATTAATGCCACCCTCCTTGAAAAAAAAAGAAAAGGATTAGAAACAATCACAGCAGTAAAAGCAAACATATCAGTTATGACAATAAATGTGACTTACACCATAATACTTCAAAACACAGACCTTGCCTGGGGCAAAAGAATGACATAATGTTGCAAAGATTAAAACATTTTATTTTATATATAAATATGATCTTGTGAAATATACACAAACAAAAAAACGACAAGAAAATACACCAAAACTCTAACTGTGCTTCTCTTTTAGTGGTGGGATTTCATTAATTTTCACTTTCTGAATTTTCTAAAGATTTGGAAAATGATGAAAATAAGCATATGTTTTCATAATTACAAAAAAAATCAGGTCCTTTAATTTAGGACAACAGTAGTTTCTGTTAAGAATAAATTGAACCCATAAAAAAATCCGAAATTTCTGGACAAGGTTTCTAACTGGCCCACCTTTCAGTACTTTTGCTCTTGGGGCAGTCAGCTGTGGCCAGAGGTGGGGTGACATTGCACTAACAAAGCAGCTTCCACTGAATGCATGGGGGAATGCGAATAACTCTTCGAGTGAGGATGCTGGTAGACAAGTCCTTCAGCGTCCACGGTAGATACTCTGGCCATCCCTAGCTGGCATCGAATTTAGGGATTGCTCCTGTTGTCTTTGGAAACCCCAACCCCTGATGGTCTTCATGGAGTTATGATGTAGCATTCACCACATGGTGCTTAAGCACAGAAATGGGTTTCTTCAAAATGTCCATGGGGCACCACTTCTACCAGGGAAGGCTGGATGCTGGCCTTCTACACAGCCAGGAGTTCACGCATCAACTCCTGATTGGCCCATCCCTGGTACTCCCACACTCCTCTAAGAGTCCAGGGAATACTGCACTGGCACATGTGAACACATTTCCTTCTGTCTAGCTATGGAAGTCTTTCACTCAAGGAGGAATGCCCCTTCCTCTGCAAGACACATACACTTAACAAAATGCCCACACTCCACAAAACACACACTGCTACCACACAACATGTGAAGGCCCCATCTTCCTTAGACCGTAGCTTTTGGTCGGCTAGTGGCTGAACTGCTCAGCTGTCATCCCCACAAGCCCCGTTAGCCTCCCAAACCTGCCTAGATCACTGAATTCATTTCCTCCATCTAACATTGCGTATTATACTAAGTAGACTAGTATTGGAAATTTTCCTTTTCACTTTATTCCTTTAATTTTTGAAGGCCTTTGAGGGAATTACTTGGATATCCCACTTTCTCTAAAAATTGTTACACAGTGATTCTTGAACATACAATTTTGTTTTGATTTGCACATAAAACGTGTGGATTTCGCAATTCCATCTAGAGCTACAGGTTAACACCATAGCCTACACTTATCTGCTTGGACCACTAGGTGGTGCACACATATGTCAGGGAACTGTAGGTTAAATGGGGTTGTCACCAGGTTAGACTTCATTCATCCCCACAGGAGAAGTGGCACAGATAGCAGGAGCTGTAGGAGTCAGGAAGAGACGGAGATTCTGTGTGGGGGAGTGAAAGAAGGGAGGTCTCCCAGAAGAGGTGGACCAGCAGTACTGCTGGCTGCAGAGATGGTGGGAGCAAAAATCACAAAGGAGAGAATGCCAAAGGCGTGGCAGAGGGAAAGTCCTAGAGAGGAAGGAGCATGCTTACTTCCACGCTCACTGATTCCTACCTAACAGGGTCCCTGCAGTGAGAATTATGGAATACCTGAATCATGTGAGCTAGATGACATCAAACTTTCCTTCTAGGCCCTCGTGCTGGGCACTGGAGACGTACTGATGAAAGGACACAGTCTTGTCCTTGAGTAAGGACCTTGTGAGGAACAAAGAAGGAAACGGTCGATTAAGATAGAGTGTGATACAAAAGGTATGTTTTACAAGATGCATTGGGAGAACAAAATGACACATTTATTCTGCTCCAAGGAAGGGAGAGAAGGAAGCTAGGATTGGAAGTTGGTGTGCAGAGAAGACCTCAGCGAGGTCTTGAGGAGTAAGTGGGGACCTCCACAAAGATCATGAGAAATTAAGCTAGACAGGGAGGCCAACACGAACAAAGGCTTGGGGGTTTGAAAGGGTAATGTGGATTTCAGGAAGGGTTTAGTTGACTTGAAGCAAATTCTTACTCTATGTACTGTATGCCAGGGACTACATAATAGATGTTCCAGGCCCTTAGGATGTTCCTCAATTAGTGAGGAAGACACACACGCCCTGAAAATTGCAATGTGAAAGGAAAGCTTAAACATTGGCCCCTTTTATATTCCGACCCTGTCCTTTGAGACTCTGGTGTCCTGGTAAGGGGCTCTCAAGGAACCGTTTACACCAGAAGAGGGAGCCCATCAGCACAGTGCCTGGCTGCTGCATTTGACATGAGTGCCTGGAGGTTTTTCAGCCTCACTCACTGATTTTGGACACATGAAGTTTGAGGCCAGAGACACAGAGTGAGTTATCCAAAGCCACACACAAGAGCCAGGGCACAAGCCCAGGTATGTCTGCCTCCTGTTAGGTTTTCTTTCCTTTTTTCTCTGCTGGTCCCTGGACACAGAGTCACCATTTAGAGACGGGTCTTGATTAGGAAATAGACATTTTTTCAGATAAATAGACCTTCATCACCAACAGCAGTCATAAAATCAAGTTTATGAAAAAATAGAAGGACACTTTGTGTTCCTTCCACACGCACGAGGAAAGTGCCAAGCCACACAGGTTGGCCTTGGCAAAGGCAGCTTAAGGCAATGTACTACTGGCCTAATTCTGTGTTTGGGGAGGAAGGCGGTCTGGCCCTGGCATTCCTTCTAGCCCATGTGCATGTTTCATTTCACTTTATTCCTCAGTACGAGGATGTTCATAATGTAGGTCAAGGACATCTTGGAACTGTATCATTTGCTTGAAAATGTGTACAGGAGAGAGTTACAAGCTGGCAGGGAACAGGGATGTGTGACTACGGAGGCTGGGAAAGGATACAGAGCTGCATTTAGGCTGGTGAGAAGTCACTGAAGCAGGGGTAGGGGGGTCTTAAAGAGGCTTTGACTGGGACAGATCAAAGTTAAATGGAGGAGGGGGTGACTACAAGAGCAAAGAGATTTGAGGCCAGGTCTTACGAGGAAAGGACAAAGAAACTTGGGAGTATTTAACCTATAGAGAAGAAAACACAGATCTTTGCACAAATTTTTGTCATGGGCTGAGGCAGTTGGAAAGAGTGATGATGTCATAAGAGAGCAGGTTTCAACCCTGCTCAAAGTAGAGCTGTCTGATAGATAGTAAGAAGTGAGTCACCCATCAAGAAAAATGATGAAACAGAAGCAGTCTGTACAACTAGTGGGACATTGCAGAGAGGATTTCTGTTCTCATAGCAGGTCAACTCAATGACCTTTGAGTTCCAAGCATTCATAATTGTATGAAAAGAGAAGAGGTAGCTTATGTAAACCAAGAATTATATGATGTATAATAATAACATCAGTACTAAACATTTCTTTTTATTGAGCACCTATGAAATATCAGGCATCATCATAATCATTTATACACATTGTCATATTTTGGTCTTCGAAGCCAGGATTAGACTGACTGAATTCCAATACTGGCCCTGCCAATTAATGAAGATGTGGTCTCATACAGATCATTTTTCCACTCAACCTCATGTCTCTTCTCCGTACAATACCAGCCCTGCAGGACTGACAAGAGTATAAAAAGAAATAACACATCAAAGTGCCTGGTCTATGTTGGTACCCCCCAAATGTTGCTGCCTTCCCCTTTCTTCTTAAGCAGAATTTCAGGAAACTACTATTAGAGAGAGATGAAATAAAGAGGGAAATACAGGGAAGGTGAAGTAAGGCAAAGAATCTATTAGATGAAATACCAGATAATCAGAAGCCCCTGCAATGCATAGCCTATAGCATGGTTCTCACAGTGTGTTTGTTTGGACCCCTTTCAAGCTAAAAAAAAAACAAAACACAGACTTTTAGTACTATTTATGGAAAATCCAGTGTAAGAAAGAGAAAGAGGTTGGTTAGGGTTTAAGGAGTCCCGACTGAAGTCTTTAAGAGAGTTGCCGACCACTGCCCCCCCAAACTCCAGTACCCACTTTCCCACCCTCCAATGCCTATGGCATCTGCTCCAGAACAGAGCTTCCCCATAAGTATGCTGTGATAAGGGGCACCCCTCTTGTAGTGTTGATCAGCTCAGCTTTGGGCCAAGGCAGTTGCCTCCAAACATGTTCAGCCTCATCCATATGGCATGGTGTGCCCAACAGATACTATATTTTCTTTGAGCATTGCATGGTACAAAGAGATGAGGGTTCAATTAGAGAGGGGATAGTTGATAGTCTGATCACCAACAACTGAAACTGTGGTAGCCTTGCTGAGCAAATTCAAGAAATAAAGCAGCCCAGGAATATCCTGGTTAGATAGGCACATCAGGAGGATGACAGTAACTGAAGGACTCAAGGCAAAGGGAACGCCAGGGTGTCAGCCCCTTAACCAGTGCAGCCAGCATGGGCAAAGAAAACTCTAAAGTCATCTGGTACAGACAAATGAGCCCATGGCTTTTGCCCAAATACATACAGGGGTGAATGGGTGACCTCTAAGACTCTCTCCACCCTGGCCATCCAAGGACAAACAAGAAAGCCATCCATTCCCTTTGTCTCTCTGCAGAATTGCAAGCCAGCACCAGTTTATCCACCATGCACCCTGCTCTGGTGTCTGAACATCCCCTTTTGTCCACCCTGACCTACTAAGCACAAGTTTGTCTCTGGCTGAAATCAGTGTTCTTACAGTGTGTTTTCTTTTGCAGCAACAGCGGCAGCTTGACCTCCTGACAATAACCAGCCCCGGTGAGTAGGAGTGGCCATTGTGCTTTGGCTTTTCCCTTATTTCCCAGAGTGATGCCTGGTTGTCTACCCAGATGCAATCCCTGCCCTCCTCCTCTGCTCCCTGAATGAACAGCGGAATTCTTTTGCGCCGTGACCGACCCTTCTCCTTCCCAGTTCTTGCTGCCTTTTCTCCCTCCCAGCTCTTGCTGCCTCCTCTTGACTCTGCAGATGGCAGAGCTAATACTCTGATGTTGCTGCATATTCCAGGGTCAAGTTCTCACCAAATCACTTGATGAACTCAAGTGTCAAGGAAGTGTTCTGGTCTCCTGGGAAATGTTTTAAAAGCACAGAAATGGGGAAGCTGCCTGGTAGGTGGCATGGAATCAGGGGAGGATGGCTTGTGAAGGACTAGTCTGGGAAGGTGACCAGGTTTGGTTTCTGTGCTGAGGGTCAGGATGACTCTTGTCTGTCACCTTCACAGGGAAAGGTCAAGACCTCCAGCCATGGCCATGGGATTAAAAGGCCCTATCTTTGCCCTAGGCCTGGCATCTAGCCTAGAGAGAGGTTGAGATGTTTAATTTGCAGAAACGTATTTTATTTAGTTTGACAACTGAAGTAAAACTGGCCAGTGAGAGGATCCAAGGAGGTGATGGTACCTGCAGGGTTAATGAGCATTCAAGAGTAGGTGTGGGGACTCATCTTCATGCCCTGGGGACAATCAAAGTGTTTAGCAGCCCTGGTAACCCCCCACTCTGTTAGGCTTTACACTTGGGTTGCTGGACTGTGGGGAGATTGATCCTGGGAGAGGGGTTAGTGTTGCAGCACGGCTGTGCGGCACGGCTGATGGGCTCTAAGAATGGCTGATTACCAATAAGTGTGGAGGTGTCTCAGTGTCTTAGTGACCAGCAGGCCTGTTCCATGTCATCCTTGCCTTGCATCAAGCCCGTTATGCTGTATCCCAGGCCCAGTTGGCTCACTTCCAAGGACACCGAGCAATTGTCCTCTGCAGGCACTATTCTAGCACCAAGGCTAGTTATCCATCCAGTCTCTGTTACATTTGAGATGGTGACTGCAAAGTTAAGTTGGATCCACCCAGTTCAGAAGACCTTACTGTATTTCTACCAGCTAGAGGTTTTTGAACTTGCAACTTCAGAAGAACAAATATTAATTAGTTTGAATAATGGTTCATCTATCCCATAAAATGAGCTATGTTTAACACACACAAACATATATGTATGATTACATATATAGAAATTCCAAATCATAAGCCAACATAACGAGAGTGGCTCAGTCAAGAGTGTGACCTACCAGGTCCTCCCCACTAAGGAGCTGGTGAGTGGTTTTGGTTTTGTCCTGTTCGATTGCTCTGCTCTGTACTATGTCCTCTTCCCTGTCACATGTGCTGACCCAGGTTATCTGCTTCCACATCCCAGTCTTATTTGGCCACGCCCTGATATGATGCCAATGTATAAACTGTGGAGGGTTCTCAATCCTGAGAAATGTGTGAAAATCATAGGGAATGGGGAAGCTGCCTGGTAGGTGGCATGGAGTCGAAGGAGGATGGCTCGTGAAGAAGGACTATCCTGGGAGGGTGACCAGGTGTGGTCTCTGTGCTGAAAACTTTAGAAGAAAACATTCAATCTCTGTTAACTGCATTTCCTTTGTGCTACTTCTCTCTGTTCCTCATCGCTGGTGCACAACTTCAAGCAAAAGCTGTTATAACCCTCAGTCCACTGCTTTTGGACAGCCGTGGAATTACAAAATGCTAAGTGCTGTCAGAGTTTAGGATAGTCTATCATTTTCTCTCCTTTCAGATGAGAAAAGAATGTGTGTGTTGTGGCACCCTGGTGTACTGTAAGTAGGCTACACTTGTGTGATAATGTGTGGGGTTGCTCCACTCAGCTCTGAGGCACGAGCAGGGTGTGAGGTAGCCGGTGCCCCCACTGTGGAAGCCATTACTCCAGTGTGCCGGACAAATATTATCTGTGTGCACCATGACTTGGAAGGGTTCAGAAGCACTATTAGACCTCGTGCTAGCTGGACAACTCTATTCCATGTGAAAAGCTCTTTGCATACTTTTGAGGTCATCCCCGTTCTCACCTCACCAGAAGCTGCAGCAGGCAGTGGTAGGTTCCCTACCCCTCTGGAGCTGCAGTGGCAGGCACTAGCTTGTCTGCATACCTCCCCAGACCATCCTCAACCCACAGCTGCAGTCCCATGCTGCCATTTCTCATAGACAAAGTCTTCCAGACTGCTGCTTGGGAATTTGGAAGCCTTAAACATCTGTGTTATCTTCTTGAAACTCCTATTTTCTTTATTGTGAATAATTTCATAGATACAGAAAAGAACAGATGTAATAACAGCTATTTACTGCCTCCTCCCCCAACACCTTGGCTTTATCATATCAACATTGTACCATTTATGCCAACAAGTCTCCTATTTAAAAAAATGTAGCTATCTGGTTGAGACTTTTATCTGCCAATACCTGATACCACCTCTCTCCCTTTACCCTATAGGTAACCACTATAATGAGTTCAATATTTCTCCATACTCATGTATTCAAATATATAACTGGTGTCATTTTATAAATTTCTACAAATGGTGTCACACCATAAATGTTATTCTGTGAACTATTCCCTACTCATTATTATATTATAGAGATTCATTCAGGAGAAACGCGCAACTCTGGTTCATTCATCTTAACTGCTATATAGTATTCCATAAATTATTAGATCACTACTTATTTATCCATTTTATTGACCATAATTTAAGATATTTTCAGTTATTTTGCAATTGCAAGTAATGCTATTAAGAGCCTTTTTGTGGATTTCCTCTTGTGTATAAGTAGGGGAATTTTCTAGGTCATATCCCGTAGCTAGGAGAAGAATTACTGATTATGTGCATTTTCAAGTTTACTACATACTGGCCAATTGTTTTCTAAAATAATTAAACAAATTTATACTTCCAACAGCGAAGAATGGGAGTTTCCATTTCCCTGACTCCCAAGCATGGAATCGTCAGACATAAATTTATACTAGTCATCATGATAAATGTGAAGTGGTATCCCATCGCTTTTACAATATGTGTTTCCCTGATTGCTGGTGGGAATGATTATCTTTTCATATATTTCCTTGGCTATGTTGGCTTATTCCTTTGTAAATTGACTTTTCATACATTTCACCATTTTATTGGTTTTTTTATTTACATTCATTTGTAGTTCTTGTTATTTTGATTATCAGAATAATCAGAATAATGCATATACTTTGTCACCTACAGGCATGGCAAATATCCTCTCCTGGAGTATGCCTTAGGTTTTCTTTCTTGATTTATGATATATTTTGACATATGGAAGGTTTTTTAAAAAATTTAATGTAGCTAAATATATTGATTTATTACTTTATGAGCTTGCTTTTGTGACTGACTTCAGTAATCCTTCCATACCTGGGTACATACTCTCCTGTATTTACTTCTAAGAATTGTCAAGTTTTGTGTTATTCTTGGGTCTTTATCTCATTTAAGGCTGATCTTTGTCATATTTGTGTGTAATATGACTTAGGTATTTCATTATTTTTTAACTTATTTGTGGCAAACCCATTTTCTCAGAACCATATAAAAACTAGTCCATTGTTTCATTTATCAGCAATCATGCATCTGTTATGTATCAATTTTCTGACACAGAGCACCTGTCTGTTTCTGAGCTCTCTATGCTGTTCCATTGGTCTACCACCCTTACTCTTCACTGACACCGTATTTATAATAAATCTTCATTGAAAAATTGTCTTTATCCTTGTAGGGAGATTTCCTTCTCCTTTTACCTTTTATAGTTATCTTTTGAGAGCACGGTTGTCCTCTTTAAAAAAAAAACAAAATATAATAATCCTTATATTATGACATGCGGATTTAATCTATTTATTATAATTATTGATGTATTTGGACATATTTCTACCACCATATTTGTACTTTCTGTTTATCATTCATTTCCTTTATTTTTTCTTTTGCCATTCCTTTTTTTGAATTATGTTTTATATACTACCTGCCTTTTTTCCTCCCATCTGCAGATTTGTATGTTACAGACTTTATTTCTAAACTTAACTGGGTCTCCTTTGGATATATACCTGACTATGCATTTTCTTACAAAGTCCACAGTCATCTAAAATTTCTGTCATCCCTTCAGCCACAAAAGAGCCTTAGTGTGCTTTAACCACTTCCCTGTCTGTCAGCACCTAGTTCGTAATGTTTAGGCTTTTAAGTTAAACTCTTGCAAAAAATAAAGTCATTGTATTTATTATTATTATTGTCATCATCATCATCATTAGCTAATGACTTTTCTTACACAATTTATAATTTTTTTGTTCTCTTATTTATTGTATCCCAAGATCATCTTATGTTACCTTACTAAAATGAACCCGTTAATATCTAATTGAGTCCACGTGTCCTTATTTTGATGTTTCCTCCAGAATGATAGTTTGGCTACTTTGAGGACTTGCCTTTGTACTTTGAGATTTTTTTCATTGTTTTCTGGCATTATTAATTGCTGATGAGAAGTCTGCCATTATTGAATTGGTTTTAGTAACATCTTTTCTTGGTTAAGTTTCAAGATTTTTAGAAATCTTAATGTTCTGCTTTTTCATTCTGTTGTATCTAGGTATGAATTTACTCCTATTCGCCCTACTTGGTACTGTGAGTACACTTTCCATCTGAGAATCTGTCTTTATTTCTGAGAAATTATTGGTAAATTATCTCTCCAAATGTTACTTTTCCACCATTCCTTTGATTTTCTTCTTCAAGAATTTTTACTAGATGACTATTAGATTTCTCAAGTGGCTTGGTTCTTAACTAATTTTTGTGATTTTTTTTATCATGTTACCTTACTGCACTGATTTTGAGTTCCCCACAAGTAGCTTGCAATCGTAAACTCACATTTGTCTCCATCTAATCTAACTTTGTCTTGTCTTTTTCAATATTTTAATGACTATATATTTTAATATCCAAAAGATTTCTAATTTTGTTTATATTCACCT